TCATTCAACACTTTCATCTTACTCACACATAATCACTGTTTTTGCAGAGGTGCTCAGAATACAACAATTTAGAAGCATATACAGTGGACCCCCGCATAACGATGGCATCGCATAGCGATTTTTCCGCATAACGATTACTTTTATCGCAAAATTTTTGCCCCGCATACCGATTAAAAACCCGCATACCGATTTTCGTCCGAGACGCGTCCAATGTGCCCTCACATGTGCCGGCCGTCCCATTGTTTACCAGCCAGCCTCCGCGGTAACATCCAAGCATACACTCGGAATATTTCGTATTATTACAGTGTTTTCGGTGGTGTTTCTGGAAAATAAGTGACCATGGGCCCCAAGAAAGCTTCTAGTGCCAACCCTGTGGTAAAAAGGGTGAGAATTAGTATGGAAATTAAGAAAGATTTTGAAGGGTTTGGGCTAACCCTGAGAAGCCTATGCCAGTTGTGGAATCCATTGTGCCTACTTCAAAGATTAAGGAAATGTGTGCAGAGTGGTTTGAACTGCAAACCTTTATAGATGAAAATCACCCTGACACAGCTGTTGCAAGCCGTGCTGGTGACTATTTCAATGACAATGTTATGGCCCATTTTAGGAAAGTCTTGAAGAAAACGGGAGGTACAGAGCTCTATGGACAGATTTGTTGTGCGACAGAGGTCCAGTGACTCTGAAGCTGGTCCTAGTGGCATTAAAAGAAGAAGGAAGTAACCCCAGAAAAGGACTTGCTACCTCAAGTCCTAATGGAAGGGGATTCCCTTCTAAACAGTAAGAAGATAATGCTCTCCCCTCCTCCCATCCCATCAATCATCACCAGATCTTCAATAAAAGTAAGTGTCATGTAATTGTGCATGCCTTTTTCAGTTTGTGTGTATTAAAATTAACATTTCATGTGGTAAAAAAAATTTTTTTTCATACTTTTGGGCGTCTTGCACGGATTAATTTTATTTCCATTATTTCTTATGGGGAAAATTAATTCGCATAACGATTATTTCGCATAACGATGAGCCCTCTTGCACGGATTAAAATCGTTAACCGGGGGTCCACTGTACATATAAAGATACACAACATATCCCTCCAAAATGCCAATATCCCAAACTCCTTTAAAGTGCAGGCATTGTACTTCTCATTTCCAGGACTCAAGCCCTGCTATATAAAAATAACTGGTTTCCCTGAATTTTTTTTTTTCAACAAGTCGGCTGGCTCCCACTGAGGCAGGGTGACCCAAAAAAGAAAGAAAATCCCCAAAAAGAAAATACTTTTATCATCATTCAACACTTCACCACATTCACACATTATCACTGTTTTTGCAGAGGTGCTCAGAACACAACAGTTTAGAAGCATATACGTATAAAGATACACAACATATCCCTCCAAACTGCCAATATCCCAAACCCCTCCTTTAAAGTGCAGGCATTGTACTTCCCATTTCCAGGACTCAAGTCCGACTATATGAAAATAACCGGTTTCCCTGAATCCCTTCACTAAATATTACCCTGCTCACACTCCAACTGCTCGTCAGGTCCCAAATACCATTCATCTCCAATCACTCCTGTCTAACATGCTCATGTATGCTTGCTGGAAGTCCAAGCCCCTCTCCCACAAAACCTTCTTTACCCCCTCCCTCCACCCTTTTCAAGGACGACCCCTACCCCGCCTTCCTTTCCCTATAGATTTATATGCTCTACATGTCATTTTACTTTGATCCATTCTCTCTAAATGACCAAACCACCTCAACAACCCCTCTTCAGCCCTTTGCCTAATACTTTTATTAGCTCCACATCTTCTCCTAATTTTCACACTCCGAATTTTCTGCATAATATTTACACTACACATTGCCCTTAGACAGGACATCTCCACCGCCTCCAACTGCCTCCTCACTACAGCATTTACAACCCAAGCTTCACACCCATATAAGAGTGTTGGTACTACTATACTTTCATGCATTCTCTTCTTTGCCTCCATAGATAACATTTTTTGTCTCCACACATACCTCGGTGCACCACTCGCCTTTTTTCCTTCATCAATTCTATGATTCACCTCATCCTTCATAAATCCATCTGCTGATACGTCCACTCCCAAATATCTGAAAACATTTACTTCTTCCATATTCCTCTCCAATTTGATATCCAATTTTTCTTTATCTAAATCATTTGATACCCTCATCACCTTACTCTTTCTATTTTCACTTTCAACTTTCTACCTTTACACACACTCCCAAACTCGTCCACTAACCTTTGCAATTTTTCTTTAGACTCTCCCATAAGCACAGTATCATCAGCAAAAAGTAACTGTGTCAATTCCCATTTTGTATTTGATTCCCCATAAGTTAATCCCACCCCTCTCCCGAATGCCCTAGCATTTACTTCTCTTACTACTCCATCTATAAATATATTAAACAACTATGGTGACAGTACACATCCCTGTCTAAGACCTACTTTTACCGGGAAGTAGTCTCTCTTCTACACACCCTAACCTGAGCCTCACCATCCTCATTAAAACTCTTTACAGCATTTAGTAACTTACCACCTATTCCATATACTTGCAACATCTGCCACATTGCTCCCCTATCCACTCTATCATATGCCTTTTCTAAATCCATAAATGCAATGAAAACTTCTCTGCCTTTATCTAAATACTGTTCACATATATGATTCAATGTAAACACTTGATCTACACATCCCCTACCCACTCTAAAACTTCCTTGCTCATCTGCAATCCTATATTCTGTCTTACCTCTAATTCTTTCAATAATAATCCTACCGTACACTTTTCCTGGCCTTCTTTTCTTTCAATGCACCAGCCGTATCTCACCAAGGTAGGGTGGCCCAAAAGGAAAAATGAAAGTTTCTCCTTTGAAATTTAGTAATATATACAGGAGAAGGGGTTACTAGCCCCTTGACTTTTCCTGGTATACTCAGTAAACTTATTCTTTTTTAATTTTTACAATCTCTTTTGTCGCCGTTCCCTTTATATAATGGGACTATACATGCTCTCCACCAATCCCTAGGTACCTTCCCCTCTTTGGTACATTTATTAAACAAAAATACCAACCACTCCAACACTATATCCCCCTTGCTTTTAACATTTCTGTCATGATCCCGCCAGTTCCAGCTGCTTTACCCCATTCATTTTACGTAATGCCTCATGCATCTCCCCCACACTCACATCCTGCTCTTCTTCACTCCTAAAATATGGTATACCTCCCTGGCCAGTGCATGAAATTATTGCCTCCCTTCGTCGACATTTAAAAGTTCCTCAAAATATTCTCGCCATCTACCCAATACCTCCATCTCCCCATCTACTAACTCCCCTACTCTGTTTTTAACTGACAAATCCATTCGTTCCCTAGGCTTTCTTAACTTGTTTAACTCACTCCAAAACTTTTTCTTATTTTCATTAAAATTTCTTGACAGTACCTCTCCCACTCTATCATCTGCTCTCCTTTTGCACTCTCTCACCACTCTCTTCACCTTTCTTTTACTCTCCATATACTCTACTCTTCTTATAACACTTCTGCTTTGTAAAAACCTCTCATAAGCTACCCTTTTCTCTTTTATCACACCCTTTACTTCATCATTCCACCAATTGATAATCATTAGAAACACGAGATCATGGAAAAGTGGAAAAATGCAGACCAGATCTTGTTACTCTGTAATCCAGTGAACTGATTTCACTAAAGAATTGTTAGCTTTACTTTTTTGTTAGATAGCTTATTATATGACCACTAGATAAATATATATAGTTTTAGAATGATATACCACAAACAACTCGAGTTATCAGGTCTCTTGGCCATATGTTGTGATATACGCACGCTCAAGAATATAATGTATGTACAGTGGACCCCTGGTTATCGTAATTAATCTTTGCCAGAGAGTGTGACTAAAGCCGAATGTGACGATATCTGAATTCATTTTCCCCATAAGAAATAATGTAAATCCAATTAATCCGTTCCAGACAATTTTTTTACATGAAATATACATTTACCTACACAGAAAAACAATGAGACATAAAGAATATAACAATAATAACATGACACTTACCTTTATGAAGATTCTTCTTAGTGTATGGAAGACAGGAGGAGGAGAGAGGATGGAGGAGTTACTATTGTTTGGAAGAGGAATCCCCTTCCATAAAGACTTCAGGTACCAAGTCCTTTTCTGGGGTTACTTCCTTCCTTTGATTTTTAATGCCACTAGGACCAGCTTGAGAGTCACTGCACACCTTTGGCACTAAATATCTGCCCAGAGAGCCCTGTTTCTGGCATCTCTTTAAAATTTCCCTAAAATAGGACATGACATTGTCATTGTACATGTTGCCGACACAGCTTGCAACAGCTTTGTTAGGGTGATGTTCCTCCACAAATCTTCCCATCCTACTCCACACTGCACAAATCTCCATTACTACCACCATCACTACCACCCTCTACCACCATCACAACCACTGCCACTCTCTACTACCATCACTACCACCTTCTACCACCATCACAACCATTACCACCATCTTCCATCATCTCTACCACTACCACCCTCTACCACCATCTATACCACCATCACTACCACTACCACCCTCTACCACTATCTATACCACCATCATAACCACTACCACCCTCTACCACTATCTATACCACCATCACAACCACTACCACCCTCTACCACCATCTATACCACCATCATTACCACTACCACTATCTATACCACCATCACAACCACTACCACCCTCATCCACCATCACAACCACTACCACCCTCTACCACCATCACAACCACTACCACCACCACTTTCGTATTTTTCTACAATCTTTTTCTTGAATTCTATCAGGCTTGTCACCCTCTTTACCAAAGGGCTGGCACTAGCTTTCTTTGGGCCCATGGTGGCTTATTTAGCAGTTGCAAGCGCTAAAATGAATGGAATATTACAAAATGTATTGTATGCATGCGTGGGATCGTGCTCACTTGTTGATAAACAATGGCACACTGACTGTGGCTGCGTCAGGGCCGCTCGTATGCATTTGGAATGAACGACTATTACCAAGGTAAATGATGATCACTGAGCCAATATTTTGACAAAAAAACATTACGATTACCGAATATTACGAAATTTGACGCCTACGATATCCAGGGGTCCACTGTATAATATCTGTGAAAATTGTCATTCATAACTTGGTGATTGTAAAAACTGCCTTAAAATCTTTGACAAACCATTTATCCAGTGGAAATTGACATGCAATTGTACGTGCTAAATTATTTACTGTTTTCAGACACTCGTGAAGACTTGTTGTACCAGCTGGTGGAAGCCGAGCGACTCCTGGAGCAGATATGCATCCAGGAGGGCAGGAAGGAGGACCCCAAGAAGTCTCCTGACTTGCACACCAAATGTGAGGACAAATTGCGCAAGAAACAGGAGGAGTCTGATGCTAGGATACAAAAAAATATTGAACTGATTCGTAAGGTGGGAATGACGTTTTTCTGTACTGAATTAATGCTACTTGATTTATTGGGATCATTTGGCAAGTGTCTTGTTTGATAGCTTATATGTGCATTCCATATCTCCCAATGGGCAGTAGTCAAAAGATTACAGAGGCATATAATGGGTCCAGTGATTGTGCCCCAAAATTTTGTTATCAAGTGACATTAATAATGAACTACAGTATTTTTAGATTTACTGTATTTACAAATTTATTGACTTAGAAATAAGAGTAATGAGTTATTCACACAATGAACTCAGTCTTATGAACATTACAGTGCACAGCTTATGCTGTAAGAATAATAATATATTTATTTACTACAAGTACATGTACATGGTATACAGGCCTAGCTGACATCAATGACATACTACTACATATAGAAAGCCGCTTGTTATGCTGAGCATTTTGGGCAAATTAAGTCAGTTTTGTCCCAGGATGCTACCCACACCAGTTGACTAACACCCAGGTACCCATTTTAAACTGATGGGTGAACAGGGATAGGGACAGCAGGTGTCTTGTGGAAACACATCCCTAATGTTTTCCAGCTGTACCGGAGGAGATTCGAGCCCAGGACTTCAGTGTGTGAGCTGAGTGCGCTAGCGATCTAGCTACGGGACACCTGTATGTGGTTATGGGTTATTTGCAGTACCCAATATTTATTTGCTAACCAAATTATGATATTTAGACAGATTACAGTGGTTATGAGTTCTTTACAGTAGTAAAAGTTTGCATGTTTTCCCAGATTTGCTGGTAATATACTACTGTACTTTGGATAAAAATTTTAGATATTCTTAAACATTTGCAAGTGAGTTGTATCTAAATTTATGTATCACTAGTTAAGAACTCTATCAAGTGTTTTTTTAATTTTACATATTTTACATATTGATTAATTTATTCCTTAATAGGATGAAACTAGTAGAAAAAGCTGTATGCAGATTGGGAAAAATCATAGTGAAATACACAAACCTTCTCTTAAGCAAAAATAAATTAACACTGAAAGTGTAAAGCTGACTGGAAGATGCATTCATCAGTTAGTGCTGGGAATCTGGTGATTTCAAGTTTTTAAACCTTGTTAGTATCTTCTCAGATTTGTGCCTTGGCATATGCCTTTTAATGCTTCAGGGTAGATTCAAAAACCTTAGAATGTTACAGGTAAACTTGAGTTTAAAAGCCTTAGATAGAAATAAAAGTTTTCGGAAGAATGGTATTTGACTCTAAATTTTCTTATTAATACAGTTCAACTTAAGTAATATTTATCAAATAACTTTCATACAGTACAATTTAAGTAGCATTTATCAAATAACGATCCATGACACGGTTACTTTTTGCTGATGATAAGTTGCAGAGGTTAGTGAATGAGTTTGGGAGGGTGTGTAAAGGTAGAAAGTCGAATGTGAACATAGATAAGAGTAAGGTGATGAGGGTATCAAATGATTTAAATAAAGAAAAATTGGATATCACATTGGAGAGAGGGAATATGGAAGAAGTGAATGTTTTCAGATATTTGGGAGTTGACTTGTCAGTGGATGGGTTTATGAAGGATGAGATTAACCATAGAATTGATGAAGGAAAAAAGGTGAGTGGTGCATTGAGGTATCTGTGGAGACAAAAAACATTATCCATGGAGACAAAGAAGGGAATGTACAAAAGTAGAGTGGTACCAACACTCTTATGTGGTGGTGAAGCTTGGGTTGTAAATGCTGCAGCTAGGAGGCAGAGGAGATGTCCTGTCTAAGGGCAATGTGTGGTGTTGTCTAAGGGCAATGTGTGGTGTAAATATTCTGCAGAGAATTCGGAGTGTGGAAATTAGGAGGGCTGAAGAGTTGTTGAGGTGGTTTGGTCATTTAGAGAGAATGGATCAAAGTATAATGACTTGGAGAGCATATAAATCTGTAGGGGAAGGAAGGCGGGGTAGGGGTTGTCCTCGAAAAGGTTGGACGGAGGGGGTAAAGAAGGGTTTGTGGGCGAAGGGCTTGGACTTCCAGCAAGCATGCGTGAACGTGTTAGAGAGGAGTGAATGGAGACGATTGGTTTTTGGGACCTGACGAGCTGTTGGAGTGTGAGCAGGGTAATATTTTGTGAAGTGATTCAAGGAAACTGGTTAGCCGGACTCAAGCCCTGGAAATGGAAAGTACAGTGCCTGCACCTTAAAGGAGGGGTTTGGGATATTGACAGCTTAGAGGGACTTCTTAACTGTTGTATACAAGTGCCTCTGCAAAGACATTGATTATGTATGAGTGATGTGAAAGAGTTGAATGATGATGAAAGTATTTTCTTTATTTTGGGGGGATTTTTCTTTCTTTTTGGGAGACAGCCGACGTGTTGAAAAAAAAAAAAATTTAACACTTGCATTATGTAGGTTAGCATTTTGATACCGTGATTTTGAAATTCGGTGATAGTTTGCTAATTGGTGAGAGGTGGCAAGAGCAATGTAGTGGCCCACTTTAAGTGATTTATCCTTGTCTGACTCTTAATACATTGGAAAGGAAACCAGAGAGTTTGATCTATATGCAATACTTATACCTTGTTATCTTCTCTAATATAAAAGCTTACACGAGAGAAGAAATGTGTATGTGCTACTGAATCACAATAACACTGGTGTAATGGTAACTCTTCATTACTAGAGGCTACACAACTTGCATAATTTCTCTTCCAATAAGAAGGAAAATAACCATTTCAGCCACTAACACTGACTGCTGGGTATGGCTAGCAGCTCCAGTTATTTTCTTTAAAAAATATAGTGCTGCAAGTTTTGGCATGATCTGAGGTGGCAAATGTGTGTCAGTAAGCTGTCCAATTTTAGGAAATACTTGTCCTGTGTCTTTACAACTCTTACCTAACCTTTTAAAATCATAGGCAAAATCCACTGGTAAAATTGTTCCTTAACTCCTTTATTTTCAATGTTCATTGCCATATAAATGTGTGTAGAGTACTATATTAGGTATTCAGTAGAGTACTTTAGTGCACTTTACTATTTTTAACATCATTCTGATGTAAGTAAAAGTTCTGAAAAATGTGAAATTTGTGATGATCACTTGGCATTATTGGTTATATCAGTAATTTATTGTTTTTTCTTATACAGTATATTAAATACAGCATTTTACTATGTTAAAACATTTGCATTATATGTTTCAGTTAATGGATGATAAAAAGCTGCTGACGGAGCAGTGTGAACAGATGCATCGGAGCCAGAGATTGATAGATAAGAAGCATGCAGATAAGGTAAATAATACTTCTGTAATGACAAAATGTTTTGTTTATTGTTTTAGTTATTCATATAATCTCTTTGTATGGGTTGTAATGAATCACTAAGAATAACAACTTTGCCTGAATACTTCTGGGTCACTAGTTTAGTGCCTTACCACTTTCTTACTTGCTTGATCCCTTTCTGCCTTCTGTTTTCTTTGTGGTGCTGGGGCCTGACATTGATATGACTGGCATTTAGACAATGACAGTGAAAAATTATTAAGGGTTGTAAGAGTCCTCAATTGATTGATGTGTGGTTTGCTAGGATGATTTGTTAAATCAATGATTGTTAAATCAATATTCTTCCCTCTTAACAGCAACACTGTTCAAATTAACCTTTTAACTGTGTCCAAAGTATTTGTATGCAGGTGATTACTGTGTGTTTGATGTACTAGTATGTACAATTTTTCATACCTTTAACTCTTTGAGGGTTGCCAGGCCCTCTCAGAGACTTGTTCTCAGGGTCGCCAAAATTTCAGGAAAAAAAAATTATTTTTTCTTATGAAAAGATAGAGAATCTTTTCCTGATCATAATGACACCAAAAGTATGAAATTTGATGGAAAACTTACGGAATTATGCTCTCGCGAAGTTAGCGGTCTCGACGATGTTTACGAATCGGCGATTTTGCCCACTTTGAGCCCTATTTTCGGCCAATTCCAGTGTACTAGTCGACAAAAATCATAGCTATTTTGCTAAAACTCCATCTTTTCTATCGAATGAGTACAAGAAACCACCCATTTACCGATTTCAACTATCCAATAAAGTGGTCAGAATTTAGCAATTTTGCCAATTTCACACAAATTTCAAAAGATGCCAATTTCCAAATAGGGTCCAGAATAAACAAGAAGGACATTACTGGCACTAAAATAACGTTTCCTCTGTTCATTAGTCACATCCACAGGACCCTCTTACATTTCTTTTGCTTTCCACTTTGAATTTTTATTCTCACAAAAATAGAAGATTTACTGTTATGCAGACTACTGTATTAGTGTAGAAATGGTATAAATAATACCAGCGCACTTGTGAAAGAATATTAGATTCACCAGTTGACGTGTATTGGATGCGTGGCATGATTTGTTTACTTTTGAACTTTGGCAAAAATCGAACATTTCTGCCACTTTGAGCTCAATTTCAAGGTACTTTTCATTGTGAAACCAATCAAAATCATCTCAATTTTTGTAATATGTCTTCCATTCTATAAAAAAGACCAGGAAAAAATAGAATACAACCATAAATTAACCCTACGGAAAATACAATGCAAAGTCGCTTTTTAACCTTAAATGTCCAAGCAATTACGTTTACATGCGTTGTCTCCAAAAATGATCTTGTTTTTTTTACATTTTCAAATATAACAAAAAAAAAAAAAGTAGATCAAAGTTTTTTTAACACTTTTTTCAAATGTTAAAAAAAGAAAGAAGATTACTTTTTTTACATCTTTCAAATGTTGAAAAAACTTAGATAGTTTGGACATTTTAAAGGGGTTTTAAAACCCAAAAAAACACGGTAAAATTTTTTTTTTTCCATTACGCAATCTGTGCTGCGGGAATTTTTTTTTATACTGCGCCACTGACCACTAACACATTCTTTCATATGAAGGCCTCCCCAGTTTTCTCTCTCTAGATTTGGGGGCGCTAAAATTTTAAAGGTTTGTACTAGTAAAAAAAAAACCCCGGGCGGGGAACCGTACAAAGTAGGCCCAAAACCCCTAAAAGGGTTTAAAAAAACCACCTCCAGTATTTTTTTTACCTTGGGTTTCAATTTTTGGGGTCTCCTACAACCCTTTTGTCTTTAAAAAAAATTTCTTGGGCCCCTGCAGGCCCAGTCAAACGGGCATGGAAAAGAAACCTAAAGTCGGCCCTGACCAGCCGGGCTGTGGCTCATACTTTGGGATTGCGTGCACCCAACCCGTAACCCCCTTGTTGATCAGGCTTGATCCACCATGGGCCTGGTCACAGACCGGGTCGGGGGGGGGGCGTTGACCCCCGGGGAAACTTTCTCCAGGTAAGTCCCTCAGGGGGTAATATTTCCTCCGCACATAACCCAGACAATAAAACCAGGAAAAATGTTTTTTCCCTAAAAGCTACAGAAAAACAGGGTGGGGAACGCCAAAAAAGATGCTGGGGGCCATTTGGAGATGTTCTTTTTAAAGGGCAATGTGTGGTGTAAAAAATTATGCAGAGAATTTGGAGTGGGGGAAATTAGGAGGAGGGGTGGAGTACAAAAAGTATTGTCAGAGGGTTAAAAAGGGGTTTTTTGAGGTTTTTTGGTCTTTGGAGAAAATGGATAAAAGGGTAAAATTTACTTGGGGGAGATTTTTAAATTTCTGTGGGGGAAAAGGGAAGGCGGGGGGGGGGGTTTAAACCCTTGAATAGGTTGGGGGGAAAGGGGGAAGGGGGGGTTTTTAAAAGGGGGGGGGGTTTTGGCCCTTCCAGCAAGGTTAAGGAGCAGAAAACAGAACTTTTGTGTGTTTTTTTGGTGTAACTCACCTAATTGTGGTTGGGGGGTTGAGACTCATCTGGCCCCCCCTCTTCACCAACCACTATGGGGTTCCCTTTTCCCCCTCCCCATGGTTTTTATCATCCCCTCGTCTTAAAACTAGTAATTTTCCTGCCCCCAAAAGTTACCCTTTAGCTTGGAAAATTTGATTTAAAAAAATATTAATACAAAGCCCATTGCCATTATTGAGTTTATGATTTTTTTAATAAAAACAGGCCTTACTTTATTCATTAAATTTGAAAAGATAAATTTCTTTCCTAAATTGGCAGAGATTGGGGATTCTAGCTAAAAAATTTAAGGGCGGCATTAAACCATCTCTGAATCTTGGTTGGATGAAAAGGGTGAGGGACGACGAGGTAAAAAAAGGGATGGTTACAATATAAACGTTTGATAGGAAAAAAGAAAGGGGGTTGGGTATGGCCTACATTAGAAATGATTTTACTAAAACCCCAAACCTGATTTAAATAACAATAAACTGGGATTCTAGGGGTTTAAGTGCTGTTTCCTAAGCCCAAACCCATTTAGAAAGGAACTAGTTCCCGCCCTCCTACCCAGGACCAGTTCTTAGAAGTTTTTTCCCAGAGTCTTGCCCAGAGTTGAAAAAAAATTGTGAGACAATAATCCCGGGGACTTAAAATATCTGTTTTCCGCAGCAAAATAACGGGCTATGAAAAAGGTATAAGAAAAATTTGGGTTTTAAATAGTTAAACTAAAACTAATTAATACTCCAACCCGGATCACAACAGTTCTCGGCCACCCAAATTTGGGAACCCACATGTTTTTGTAACCGCTCTGAGAAAAAATTAGTCAGTCAGGGTCTTTTCCCACAGGTCTTAGTTTCATTTCATTTTTACGGGCCCGGGAAAAAAAACTGGGGATGGGAAATTAGGCCTCACAGGACAATAAAAATAAGGTAAAACTAGAAACTACAGTAAAAAACACGGTTAAATGGGTTTTACACAATTGTGACGGGACAGAGAAAACAATTTTGCACGACTTAAACGATCCCGGGGAAAAAAATTCAAAACAATGTTCATTCCAAATCCTTGATAAAAATTGCCCCATTAAAAGGGGTTTGGGAAATTAAAAAAAAGAATAAACCCTGGATCAAATACTGAAAAATTTTAGTTTTAAAATGAAATTCAGAGACCAGCTGCTAAAAAGATTTAAAGCAAAACGACAGGATTTTGCGCACTAAATAAATTTCCCAAAAGGAGTGAGGAACAGAGTACAAAAATTTAAAAAAGGAAAGAAAAGGAAAAGCACAACTGCTAAAAAAATTGAAAGTAAAAGCAAAACCCCCAAAAAGCTCGGCAACAACGAAAAAAAGTTGGGGTAAGCCATAAAGCCATTTGATAGGTCTAAATAGTACTCACTATAAATGAGGAAACCCACGAAACATCAAAGGGGTGGAAAATTGGGGTTTTTAATTATACTACACATCTTTTGGGCATCAACACTAGTAAAGTAAATCCCAGCTCCCAAAAATCCCTTTAACACGACTCTAAATAAGTTTGGGAAAAAACAAAAACCAAATTAAAGGGGGAAACCCCCAAACCCTTTTGTCAACTATAAGTTTTCCCTCAGGGATTTTCTTTTCAAAAAAAAACTAAGGGGTTTTAAACCCAACTAAGAGAAAAGGGCCCCGAAAACCCGCTAATTTCCCACTAAAAATGGTTCCTAAAACTGTCAACCCCAAATTGTCACATTAAAAAATCTATCAATAAACCACTAATACCGTACCGGAGGGGTTTAAAGGGAGGCCAAATTTTAACCAAATTTTAAAGAAAAAATAGTAGGCCCTGATGTAACAAATGGGCCCTGTTTGTATACTCGTATAATACTAAAATTCTAGAGAGGGGGGTTGTATTCCCCCAAGTAGTTAAGTACCTTAATGACAAAAAACCATTTCCATAGCTATCAATGGGGCCCTTTAGAAGACCCCACTCAACCAAACACCCCCCTTAAATTTAATCTGATGGATTACCTGAAAACCCTGAAATTTTCCAAAGGGGAACCTCATGGGGATGGAACCCTTTAGCCTGAAAAAGGCCTTCGATACGTCAACCACAAAAAAATTATTAAAAAAACTTCAAGCAGGGGTTTTGGTTCTGTAGAGGGTTTAAGTCCCCCTTAGAAACCAGGAGACAAATAGCAAAATCAAAAAAAAACAGAATCAGAACCCCTGCTGATAACATGTGGATTTCCCCCCAAGGTAGTTTTTCTGGGCCCTTTTATTATTTTATTTTTTGGGTAAATATATGCCAAATCAGTGTCAAGTGAAAAACTCATTACTGAAATGCAGTTTAAACAGTGCTTGTTTTTTGTGTCAGGTAAAGCCCCAAAAGATTTTAAAAAATTTTTTAAAAACACTAAAAGGGAATTCCTGCAGCAAAGGGTTTTAGTAGCAAAAAAACTACATTACACCTGGGGAAAAAACGGGAACCCATTCTTTTTGGGCCCTGAAACATAAATTAAA